TAACCTTCCAATATATGAATCTTTATGTATCGACCATTTCGAGACTCCTCGTCATGTCCGTGATCTCATCTAGGACTCCAAACAAACTTCAGTTCATCAAAAAACGAAAGCCATAATACAAATAATCATCGAATGTTAAGCGTGCGGACCCTACGGGTTTGAGAACTATGTAGACATGACTGAGACATATCTCCGGTCAATAACCAATAGCAGAACCTGGATGCTCATATTGTTTCCTACATATTGTACGAAGATCTTTATCAGTCAAACCGCATAACAACATACGTTGTTCCCTTTGTCATCGGTATGTTACTTGCCCGAGATTCGATCGTTGGTATCATCATACCTAGTTCAATCTCATCACCAGCAAGTCTCTTTACTCATTTCGTAATGCATCATCCTGCAACTAACTCATTAGTCACATTCCTTGCAAGGCTTATAGTGATGTGCATTACCAAGAGGGCCTAGAGACACCTCTCCAATACACAGAGTGACAAATCCTATTCTCGATCTATGGCAACTCAACAAACACCTTTGGAGACACCTGTAGAGCATCTTTATAATCACCTAGTTATGTTGTGACGTTTGATAGCACACAAGGTGTTCCTCCGGTATTCGGGAGTTGCATAATCTCATAGTCAGAGGAACATGTATAAGTCATGAAGAAAGCAATACCAATAAAACTAAACGATTATTATGCTAAGCTAACGGATGTGTCTTGTCCATCACATCATTCTCCTAATGATGTGATCCCGTTCATCAAATGACAACACATGTCTATGGTTAGGAAACTTAACCATCTTTGATTAACGAGCTAGTCAAGTAGAGGCATACTAGGGACACTCTGTTTTTTCTATGTATTCACACATGTACTAAATTTCCGGTTAATACAATTCTAGCATGAATAATAAACATTTACCATGATATAAGGAAATATAAATAACAACTTTATTATTGCCTCTAGGGCATATTTCCTTCAGTCTCCGACTTGCACTAGAGCCAATAATCTAGTTCACGTCGTCATGTGATTTAACACCAACAGTTCACATCTTTATGTGATTAGTTCACATCTCCATGTGACTAACACCCAAATGGTTTACTAGAGTCAATAATCTAGTTCACATCGCTATGTGATTAACACCCAAAGAGTATTAATGTGTGATCATGTTTTGCTTGTGAGAGAAGTTTAGTCAACGGGTCTGCCACATTCAGATTCGTATGTATTTTGCAAATTTTCTATGTCTACAATGCTCTGCACAGAGCTACTCTAGCTAATTGCTCCCACTTTCAATATGTATCCAGATTGAGACTTCGAGTCATCCGGATCAGTGTCAAAGCTTGCATCGACATAACCCTTTATGACGAACTTTTTGTCACCTCCATAACCGAGAAACATGTCCTTATTCCACTAAGGATAATTTTGACCGCTGTCCAGTGATCCACTCCAGGATCACTATTGTACCCTCTTGCCAAACTCACGGTGAGGTACACAATAGGTCTGGTACACAGCATAGCATATTTTATAGAACCTATGACTGAGGCATAGGGGATGACTTTCCATTCTCTTTCTATCTTCTGTGGTGGTTGGGTTTTGAGTCTTTACTCAACTTCACACCTTGCAACA